CTGTTACTACTAGCGTGGCACTTGTTACTACTAGCGTGGCACTTGTTGTTTCTTTAGACTATATTTAGACAATTTCATTTCTTTTTCTTTAGACACATTTTCATTGTCCTTTGTCTTTCTTTCTGCATTTCGACTTCCATAAGTGCAAAATCTGAGGCATATGTTGGGCTGCAAAAGCCCTGAAGAAACACGAGAGAAGGTGCACACCTGGCCCCTACTGGATTCCGGCAGATCAAACTGTGTTTTTGTTTAGTCAAGTCAAACACATGCCAAAAAGGAATACTATGGGAATCTAAAGGATATACGAGCAATTGCTTTTGAGGGAGTTCTTTATGAACTCATTCCTCCAGCTCTCTGACAGCAATCATGCATGTGGTCAAGATCTGAGTCATGCTTATCTGCCATTCGTGGATTAGAAGAAAATACATGAGGCGAGCATGTTGAACTTCTTCATCTCTCTCTCCCTCTCTCCCCCCTTTCTTGTTATGGCCCACAGTCTTTATCAGAAGTTGCTGGCTTCCTTTTCTTTTAGATGCAGATTTACATTCTTAGCAGGTGGCGTCATGTCAACCTTAGTGTTTTTATCACCATGTGGACCATGCGTCCAGATGCTTGCTTGGCCAGGTTCTAGTGGAGCGGGAGGCAGGGTTGGTTTCTCTCAGTCTCCCGGCTTGGACATCGGACATCGCTCACGGCCTTAGAGAACAAGAGGACGCTACTAGTAACAAAGGGCATCGCTACTAGGAACAAGGACGCTACTAGGGGCTCCTGGCATCGCTACTAGGAACAATGTTTGCTATTAGAAACAAGAATTATAGTTTAGAATTGGAACAAGAAGCTACTAGTAACGAGATAAGGGCTCCTCCTCTCTGATTCTAGGTTGGAGGCCATCGCTCTTAGGATGGAGGCCAACCTAATAGGAATGGCCTCCAACCTAACAGCGATGGAGACAGGGTCGGTCTCTGTTGTTTCTCTCTGTCTCCCGGAAATTTGGCCAGGTTCCCAACGAGGCTCCCGTGCCTGAGGCCATCAGAGCTTGCTTTTGAGTGTGTAAAAGGGGGTGTTTGTTTTTTTGCATTCTTTATGTATATGATCTTCAAACACATTCCTGAGTCTTTTAGAAAAAGCATCCGGATCGCCAGTCGCCTCAACAAGGTCCTGCAATGTTTGGTTCTTTCAAGCTGTCAAATTGTAGGCAGAGGAGGAGTTGAAGCTCACCGAGACCTTGAAGTATGCTGAGGTGCTTGGCCTCCAATCCTTTTCAACAAAGAAGTCCTTTGGGGAAAAGACCTGAATTAAGCAACACAAACTCAACACACAAATACATGTATGTGACATACACAAAAGACTTTTTTTCCATAAAAGACCCTGGCGCTTGCCCTTGGCTTTCTGGTCTGAGGACTTGACAACAGCAGCGGAGGAAGGACGCTTGGATCCCTTAGTCGGCCAGCCACCCAGAGAGAGGCAAAAAAGTTCTCTCAACAAGAAGCAGAGAGTGTTCAGCAACCAGACACTGGCAAATCTGCTGGGCAAAGAAGGGAAAAATGCGGATGATATTCAAGTCTTACCTACCAGAAAAGTCTTTCCGTGCTATACGTGATGAACCACTGCGGCTTGAGCGAGGAAATATACGCCAGGGCTCTCAATCGACATACGGCAATTTGCCATGGCAATTCGGGCAGAGCCACTGCAAGTCTCCAAGGATTGTCAGTTGTTGAATCCCAGCCATGACCTGTTGCATGGCCACTCTCGCCAAACTGAGCCAGCTTCATAAGCCTGACAAGATCAAGCTTCACACCAAAGGATTGATTGGCCGCCCCAAAGCGTGTTTGTATCTCATCTCCAAACTCACTAAAGCGAGACAATGCAAACGGGCATTCATTTCATGCCTGTAGATTTTCTTGAAACATTTTCTCAACGTGCCAAGGTCGTTTCAGTCTTCCCCAAGTTTGACCGTCATGCCGGTCCGATTCAGATGACAGAATATCTTCACAGCAACTGGACAACGTTAGGTCAACAGAGGAGCCCGTGCATCTATACGATGCACTAAAACCACTCACTAGGTAGGTTTGCCAATAGGTCGTGCAAGGTATGATCTTTTGGTGTAATTCCTAGGTAATGGATGGAACAATATGGAACATGTATCCCAACAGCATCACCTTGCCAATCTCAAGTGACTTGTTACTAGTAGCGATGCACTTGTTCCTAGTAGCTTCTTTGTTACTACTAGTAAGGCACTTGTTCCTAGTAGCTTCTTTGTTACTACTAGTAAGGCACTTGTTCCTGTAATCATGGCAACCATGAACCCACCTCTATGCGATTAATCAAGGTTCTCATATGGTGGTGGCCCATGTTTTCAGGCCAGTAGCATCCAGTAGCGCAAGCAGGTAGAAGAACAAGGAAGACATAACTGGACGCAGAATGGCGCTCAGGGTTCTTCAGGGAATTGAGCTGAGGGGACTTCTTCCTTGCAAAACCCTTCGCCCAAGGTACTTTACATATCTCTTTCTTTCTTTCTTTCTTTCTTTCTCTATGGATATTTTTTTAAACAAAAGACACACGCAGCCAACAATTTGGACCACAGGTCGAGAGGTCCAATTGGAGAGAACTATCCGCATTCTTGGACGGAGGCTGGGCAGCGAGGTAGACCTAACGCTTGGACCTGCTCCCTGTCTTTTTGATGTTCTTGCTTCTTCACATTGACATTCGTTGTCTCTGAGTTCCTATTTCTTGTCGTTTTCGGCCACTTCCAGCCAATCCTTTTTTTGCTCAACCTTCGTTCCAGGTCCAAGAATAATCCAGTCTACGTGGGCGAAGCTGGTGTGGGGAAGACCTCCATTGCGTGTGGCCTTGCGCAACGCATCGTCCAGGCAGAAAGCAGAGAAAGAAGATGAAAGAACAATGAATGAAGCTAGGAACAAGAAGCTACTAGGGGCTCCTGGC